CCCTTCCTTCCTTCCTTACCTCCCCTCCCCAGTTAACTCCTTCATGCTAATTTATGCTAATTAACGCCCCTAATTGCAGTCCCGGCACCCCATCCCCCCTTCACCCTCTTGCCCCCAATTAACCCCTCCTTAATTACCTCTTAATTAACCTCCTACTAATTACCCCCCATCCCCAATTACCCCCGGCCTCCCTCTCATTAATTAGCACACTCCCACCCTCCCTCATTAATTAATTCATGCTAATTAATCCACTTAATTGCAGCGCCAAACCCGTGTCCTCCTATCATTCCCTCTCCCATAATTAAACCCCACTTAATTACCCTCTTAATCACCCCCTCTTAATTACCCCCATTAATTCCCATTCATCTCCCATTCGCCACCATCCCCTCCCTTCACCCGCCCACTAATTAACTAATTACCGCTAATTAATGAACCTCATTGCAGCCCCACGCCCTACCATCGCTCTCTCTCCCCCAATTCACATCACCTTAATTAACACTTAATTACCCCCTCTTAATTACCCCATCCCCATTTCACACCCCCCCATTCATTTATCACCCCGTTCCCTGCCTAATTAATTAATTAATGCTAAATAATGCTAATTAGGCCACCACCCCCATCGCTCTGTCTCCCCCAATTAACATCTTCTAAATTAACTCTTAATTACGCTCTCTTAATTACCCCAGCCCCTCTCATTATCAGCCCGTTCCCACCCTGCCTACTTAATTAATGCTAACTAATGCTAATTAGGCCACCACCCCCATCGCTCTCTCTCCCCCAATTAACACCATCTTAATTAACACTTAATTACCCCCCTCTTAATTACCCCAACTCTAATCACCCCCCTCTTAATGACCCCCACCCCCATTAACCCTCTCCATTAATTAACCCACCCCTAATTAATTAATCACTGCTAATTAAACCGCCTGAGACGCCACCCAACAGCCCTCAATTACCCTTCATTACCCGCCACTTAATTACCCCCGACCCTAATTAACCCCCCTCCCGCCCACCCCCACCCTCCACCCCTAATTAACTAATTAACGCTAATTAACGCTAATTAATCACCTCGGTCGGGTGCCAAACCCCGGTGCTCCCGTCGCTCCCACTCACCGCCACCGCGGCTCTCGGCGCCCCTTCATTAATTAATTAACGGCCCATCGTTAAGGAGGCCCTCATGAGGAGCTCATTAGCATCCCATTAAGGAGCTCATTAACGGGATTAATTAATTAATGATTAATTAACGGCGGCTCACCTCGGGGGGCGATGGAGGCCGATGTGGGGCAGCCAGGATGGCAGCGATGGCGGCTTTGGGGGCGGCCGCAGCGACTCCAGACCCACAGCGACCCACAGCGCCCCACAGCCAGCAGCCAGCGGCCCTGCAGTGACCCATAGAGACACATAGAGCCCCATAGCGACCCATAGGGAACCATGGCGACCCATAGCGACCCATGGCGACCCATAGCGACCCATAGCGACCCATAGAGACCGACAGCGCCCCACAGCCAGCAGCCAGCGGCCCTGCAGTGCCCCATAGCGACCCATAGCGACCCATAGAGACCCATAGCGACCCATAGCGACCCATAGAGACCCATAGGGACCCATAGCGACCCATAGCGACCCATAGAGACCCATAGGGACCCATAGCGACCCATTGTGACCCATAGAGACCCATAGGGACCCATAGAGACCCATAGGGAACCATGGCGACCCACAGCGCCCCACAGCCAGCAGCCAGCGGCCCTGCGGAGCCCCATAGCGACCCATAGAAACACATCGAGATCCATAGCGACCCATAGCAACACATCGAGATCCATAGCGACCCATAGCAACCCATAGCGACCCATAGGGACTCATAGGGAACCATACGGAACCAAAGGGACCCATACCGACCCACAGCGCCCCACAGCCAGCAGCCAGTGGCCCTGCAGTGACCCACAGCGCCCCATAGCAACCCATAGGGAAGCATGGCAACCCATAGTGACCCATAGCGACCCATAAGGACCCATAGAGACCCATAGAGACCCATAGGGACCCATAGCGACCCACAGCGCCCCACAGCGCCCCACAGCCAGCAGCCAGCGGCCCTGCAGTGCCCCATAGAGACCCACAGCGACCCATAGGAGCCATAGGAACCCATAGAGACCCACAGCACCCCATAAAGAACCATAGAGACCCATAGTGACCCATAGCGACCCATAGGGACCCATAGAGACCCACAGAAACCCCGTAGAAACCCATAGAGCCCCCAGAGACCCCATAGACCCCATAAAGCCCCATAGCACCCCATAGACCACATAGCGCCCCATAGAACCCCATAGACCCCATTCCATCCCATACTACCCCATAGCACCCATAGCACCCCATAGCACCCCGTAGCACCCCGTAGCACCCCACAGCACCCATAGCACCCACAGACCCCCATAGCACCCCATAGCACCCCATAGACACCATAGCACCCCATAGCTCCCCACACACCCCATAGCTCCCCACACACCCCATAGCACCCCATAGACCCCATAGCACCCCATAGCATCCCATAGCACCCCATAGCACCCATAGCACCCCATATGCCCCCATAGCACCCCATAGCACCCCATAGCACCCATATGCCCCCATAGCACCCCATAGCACCCCATAGCATCCCAAAGCACCCCATAGCATCCCATAGCTCCCCATAGCACCCCATAGCATCCCATAGCACCCCACAGCACCCCACAGACCCCTACAGACCCCATAGCACCCATAGCATCCCACACACCGCATAGCACCCCATAGCATCCCACAGCACCCCATACCACCCCATAGCACCCCGTAGACTCCATAGCACCCATAGCACCCCACAGACCCCACACACCCCATAGCACCCCATAGACCCATAGCACCCCATAGCACCCCATAGCACCCCATAGCACCCCCAGCCCCCCCAGCCCCCTACTCACGTGTCCCCCCACAGCACAGGGGGGGCCCTGCAGCCCCACAAGTTCCCGCAGCCGCTGCCCCACAGCGACGTCCCACAGCAGCAGCGTCCCGTCTGCTGAGCCGGAGAGCTGGGAGCCACAGACACAGCGCGACCCATAGTGACCCATAGTGACCCATAGGGACCCATAGCGACCCATAGCGACACATAGGGACACAT